GAGATGGAGCTCTCACTCTGTCGCCCAGGCTGGAGTGCAGTGGCCAGATTCCAGTCACTGCGAAGTCTCCGTCCTCCGGGTTTTACGCCATTCTCCTGCCTCAGCCTCACTGAGTAGTAAAAAAAAAAAAAAAAAAAAAAAGGAAAATACCTTGTCTAAGTATGTAGCTCAAGAATTAGATTCAACTTTACCAAAAATAAGCTTAGAAAAATAGTTCTTGAACCTATTTAGCCTTTTAGCCTCTATAACCTATTAAAGGTGCCAAGAACACGGTTTCAAACTTAGAAACCTGACGTGCTCTCAATCAGATGAATACAGACAGTCCTTTGTTTATATTAACAATGATAGTATTCTCTATTAGCAAAGAGAAAGAGCAGACTGGATCTCTGTCGACCAATAACGGGGATAAAGCAGGCTTTAAAGTCTCCACTGTGGTTAAAAATTCTGCATGGGAATAACACTTAAAAGCCACAAGCAGCAGTGCTACCCCAGCCACTCACCGCTTGGTGCCCTTTGACTTGGGATTTTTGGCAAACAAAGAGGTATCAAGTGACTCCAGGGACTTTCCTTTGGTGCTGAAGAGTCTCTGGGCTCGCTCTTCTAGGGTCCTAAGGAGACAGGATGGCAAAGGATTTCAGGGTTACTTTACCACAGAGGCTCGCTTGTTTTTGCAGTGTGGAGCAACAGAAAAAAAATGGAATCAGAGCTGCTTAGAAGACTGTGCAAACACACAGCAAATTGAATAGTTTTGATAGAAAAACCATTCCTTACCCGCCACATTTCAAGCCTAAAGCTAAGAGAGCAGATTTCAATCTGTCCAAACCCAGAGAGGCCAACTCCTGTACAAAGAAGAGAAAAATTACAATATTACATTAACAGATTTTTGGGAAACCCCAAATGCAGGCCAGAGGGTGGGTGTTCCTGAGGCTGTGGCAGGACCACACATTTCATAGCCAATCTGACAGTAAGTCTAAACTCTCCAGAGGACTGAATCTGTAATTACTTCAGACTTAACCATACTGGTAGTGTTCCATTTACTTTACTACAGCTTAATGTAGTTAGAATGATTATTTCAGTTTCCCAAGTAGTAATTTTTTTCTTTTTACTTTGCTACTTTCTTTGTAGATGCTTGATCCCAAGAAATAGTGCCTTATCACAACACAACCATGGTATTAAAGACAGCAGAGCAGTCTTTAAAGACAGAAAAATAGACAGGAAGAACAGTACTACTGCTGAAGGAAACATACCTCCCAGGAGGAGAATGCAGAGAGGTCAAGATGGGCTCCAGCATGGGTCAGAGCACTGCTTGTCTCTTTCTGGAAAGAACAATATGGTATTTATTAGGATCCAGGTTTAGGCCAGGCGTGGTGGCTCACACCTGTAATCTCAGCACTTTGGGAGGTCTAGATGGGTGAATTGCTTGAGTTCAGGAGTTAGAGACCAGTCAGAGCAACATGGTGAAATCCCATCTCTACAAAAAAAACACATGAATTAGCTGGGCATGGTGGCATGTGCCTGTGGTCCCAGCTACTCAGGAGTCCAAGGCAGGAAGATCTCTTGAGCCCAGGAAGTTGAGGCTGCAGCAGTGAGGTATGATCATGCCACTACACTCCAGACTAGAAGCCATATGGAGACTTTGTCTCCCAAAAAACAAAACAAAGCAAAACAAAACAAACAACCAACCCACCAGGTTTAGGATGAAGGTAAGGTTGGTCCACACTCTCTCCCTGGAGAGTTCAGGAAAAACCCATGTTTATCCCCAGAAGTGAGAATGTAGATTCCTAACATATGATCTGATAAGCTCTTGGTCGGCAGGAACCACATAACAGTAATGATGTGATTGGTGAAAATCTGGGCACAGTCAAAGGCAAGTGGACCCTGACAGTCTTGCTCCAAAATACACACAAAAAAACCTCACATACGGCCGGGTGCGGTGGCTCATGCCTGTAATCCCAGCACTTTGGGAGGCTGAGGTGGGCAGATCACCTGAGCTCAGGAGTTTGAGACCGGTCTGACAAACACGGAGAAACCCCGTCTCCACTAAAAACACAAAATTAGCTGGGTGTGGTGGCGGGTGCCTGTAATACCAGCTACTCGAGAGGCTGAGGCAGGAGAATCACTTGAACCCAGGAGGTGGAGGTTGAGGTGAGCCGAGATCCTGCCATTGTACTCCAGCCTGGGCAACAAGAGTGAAACTCCGTCTCCAAAAAAAAAAAAGAAAAAGAAAAACAAACAAACAAAAAAACATAGCATACTTGGCAGGGAATACCTCATTGTCACAAGTGATACCAAAGAATTGATACCTAATGCCCTAAAGTGGAAGCTCAAGATAAAGGAAAATAATTACTTCAATTCCTTGGCATGTCCACCATTCACACCCCACTGAAGCTCACCGGCCATCCAGGAAAGGTTCCATTCTCCCATTTCTTCTCAAACTCAGCCTGAATCTTCCCAAAAAGTTCATTCTGATCTTGGAGAGGCTTCACTCTATCTGTGTAATCCTGAAGGTACTCGAGCAGCATCTCTAGGTATCTACAGAGGAACATACAATGCAGAGAAAGCAAAAAGGGTTTCTATTTTTGCTATCTTGTTATTCCCTGTAGAATATATAGTACTTATAATTCTAGTAATGCTATCTTTTTAATCCTTTTTTGTTTTTGAAACGGACTTTCGTTCTTCTTGCCCAGGCTGGAGTGCAACGGCACGATCTCAGCTCACCACAACCTCCGCCTCCCGGGTTCAAGTGATTTTCCTGCCTCAGCCTCCCGAGTAGCTGGGATTACAGGCATGCGCCACCACGCCCGGCTAATTTTGTATTTTTTTTTTTTTTGAGACGGAGTCTCGCTCTGTCACCAGGCTGGAATGCAGTGGCACAATCTCGGCTCACTGCAAGCTCCGCCTCCCAGGTTCACGCCATTCTCCTGCCTCAGCCTTCCAAGTAGCTAGGACTACAGGCGCCCGCCACCACGCCCGGCTAATTTTTTTGTATTTTTAGTAGAGATGGGGTTTCACCGTGTTAGCCAGATGGTCTCGATCTCCTGATCTCGTGATTCGCCCGCCTCCTCAGCCTCCCAAAGTGCTGGGATTACAGGTGTCAGCCACCGCGCCTGGCTAATTTTGCATTTTTTTTTTTTTTTGAGACGGAGTCCCTCAGTTGCCCAGGCTGGAGTGCAGTGGCGCGATCTCAGCTCACTGCAAGCTCCGCCTCCCAGGTTCACGCCATTCTCCTGCCTCAGCCTCCCAAGTAGCTGGGACCACAGGTGCCTGCCACCACGCCTGGCTAATTTTTTGCATTTTTAGTAGGGATGGGGTTTCACCGTGTTAGCCAGGGATGGTCTCGATCTCCTGACCTTGTGATCTGCCCACCTCAGCCTCCCAAAGTGCTGGGATTACAGGCGTGAGCCACCACGCCCGGCCTAATTTTGTATTTTTAATAGAGACAGTGTTTCTCCACATTGGTCAGGCTGGTCGCGAACTCCTGACCTCAGGTGATCCACCTGTCTTGGCCTCCCAAAGTGCTGAGATTACAGGTGTGAGCCACTGTGCCCGGCCAATACTCATTTTTAAATGAACTTAGAATGGACATTTTTCCCAACATGTCATTTTGATTCTGACCTTTTCCACCTCCTTTTATTCTCATAAAATGATGCTAAATACTAAGGTCTTAATTACCTCACATAATACAAGATTTCATTAAAAAGAAAATGAGAAAAAGAGGGGAAATTAAAAAATCACTAATCAGGGGAGTAATTAACAAAAACATAAATTTTTCACTTATACATCACACCTAAGCATCTCACTTCAGTCACAATCTGAGAAAGTCTAATTTTTTTCCCATAAAACTCCGAAAACACAGAAGTCCCAGAGTGGGAGAGTTCCTAAAACAATGAGACAAAATTAAGAACAGTATGGGCATATGATGGAAGATGTGCCCACAGACACACCTTTGTCCACATCCAGAGCATCGCAAAGGTTTTAAAACCACATCATTCATAGCCCCATCCTCCAATGAACCTGGAAGTATGCCTTCATGTATGCATTCCAGGCAACAAATTCAGAACTTCACCCTCAAAAACTTCACATTATCTTCTAATCAAATCCAGGAGAGACCTAGAAGCTATTAATGCCTACCTCTTATACTCTGCATTCTTCCTTTCTTTAGGAATGTCGAATAATTGGTCAAAGATGGACAGGTATGTGATATAATCCAGCTTCTTCAAAGAGGGAAGAAATGACAAGAAATTCAGTTAGGTATTTATACTGTAACAACTTACAATATAATCTCCAATAAGTGAGATCAAAATTGAATGTTTTCTAACAAAGTAACAAGGGCTGGCTAATTTTTGTTTTTTTCCTGCTTTCCCATCATTCAATCCTACTACAATTGGAGTGTTAATTTCACTGGACTGAAGAAAAATATCAGACATAATTAACTTTATAAAATAAACATCAAGTTAATGAACATTAAACTAAAAGAAACATTTGTCGATTATTACCTAACGCTAGGGTCTTGGTTAAAGACTCTGACATCCTAAAACAAGGTCCTCAAAGGTGCCATTTGTTCACGCAAGTAACTACTTATTGAGCATCTTTGTACCAAGTATGGGGTACAGAAGACAACAAAACAGGCAAGGGACCTGACTTGCCCACATGGAACTTGAAGTTTGGTCACTGCACTTCTGGAACATTTCCTCACAACTCCATGAGGAATCTAATCACGTATATCCTTGTGATCCTTTTGAGATTGCCATATTAAACCTCATCTCGCCCTAAGCTATTTTTTTTTTTTTTTTTGAGACAGGGTCTCATTTTGTCACCCAGGCTTGGAGTGCAGTGTGGCATGATCTTGGCTCTCGTATCCCCTAGACCTCCATGGACTCAAGTAGATGGATCCTGGCCTCCCAAGCCCCACCAGTACTTGGGGAACTACAGGCGGTTGGTCCACCCAATCGCCCAAGCTAGTTTTTTTGTATATTTGTGTAGAAGATGGGAGTATTTTGCCCTGTTGCCCAGGCTTGGTCCTCAAAACTCCTGAGCTCAAAGCAATCCGCGCTGCCTGCTCTCGGCCACACAAAGTTGTTGGGATTATAGACGTGGCCATTGCAGCCCGAACCTTACATAAGATTTCTTATAAATTTTTTTTTTTTTTTTAATAAATGACCATTTTCCCCCCTGCTGGACAAACGTCACTGCACACCTGTAATAAACCCAGCACACTTTGGTGGGAGCCAGAGGCAGGCCAGATCACCTGGGTCGGCGAAGTTCAAGACCAGCCTGACCAACGTGGGAAACCCTGTCTCTACTTGAAAATACAAAATTTAGCTGGCATGGGTGGGCAACATGCCTGTAATCCTACAAAGCTTACTTCAGGAGGCTGAGGCAGCGAGAATCAACTTGAAACCAGCGAGGTGGGATTGCGGGGAGCTGAGATTGGCGCCATTGCACTACAGCCTGAGCAACAAGAGCAATAACATCCTCATCCAAAAAAAAAATTTTTTTTTGTAGAAATAGGTGTTTTCACTGGCCGGGCGCCGGTGGCCTCAACACCTGTAATCCCAGCCAACTTTGGGAGCCGAGGTGGGCGGATCACGAGGTCAGGAAGTTTGGAGACCATCCTGGCTAACATGGTGAAACCATTCCCATCTCTAACTAAACTAACATAAAAATTAGCTTGGGCGTGGTGATGGCTGCCTGTAGTCCCAGCTTACTCGGGAGGCTGAGGCGGGAGAATTGGCGTGTTGGCTGGGAGGCGGAGCTTTGCAGTGAGCCAAGATGGGCGCCACTGTACTTCGGCCATGGGCGACCCACCGCGAGACTCTGGTCTCCAAAAAAAATAAAACAAAAAGAAAAAGGGGTTTCACCATGTTGTCCCAAAAAAACCAGGCTGGTCTCGGACTCACTGAACTCCAAGTCATCCCTCCACTCAAAATCAGCTTCTCAAAGCCTTGGGAATTACAAGGCATGAGCCACTGTGCCCACCCTAGATTTATGTTTTCTTCTAGGTTGTCCTGGGTTTAGACGCAACACAATACTAGGTACATGAAAGACACAACACAACGTGAATATTTCTGTCAGCAAAAAAGCATTTAATCTGTCTTTTCTTAAAGGTGGTTTTAAAAATATCTTATCACACCGGCCTGGAGTGCATGGCTTCACACCTGGTAACCCCAGCACTTTGGAGAGGCCAAGCGCGGGTGGATCAACCGGTGAG